GTTTAAGACAAGCATTTTGCCCCTTAATCTAGCTAATCCCAAACAGTACAAAAAGGGTTTGGCCCCCTCATTCAGGAGTTGGGTCCTGGGAGCTGCAAAAGGTATCCTGGTGGGCTGTACGAAAACTTCTGACCATTAGAAAGTGACATTTTAGAACTTTTCTATGAGATGAGAAAACATGTATTAAATTAATATAGTAGAAATCATTAGTCAAGCTAATGTTAATCCCTTTGAATGAAATCAGATGTAGCAAAATTTCATTTTAACAATATTGTCTGATTTAGTTCAGGTAACATGTAAGGATTTTTAAAATTATTATTATTATAAACTCTGGAAAAGCCTTCAAATTATGTAATTAGCTTGCACAAGTGGGGGTTGGTATTTTGGAATTAAGGGAGAACAGTGTTTGGTCAAAAGCAATGGCAGAACCAGAAATAATAGAAAGTTGTCTGATGGCAGATTAGTAATTTATCAGAAATTGGAAGTTGTAAATAAACTTAGACAAATTCAGTATTTAATTTCTGTTGCAGGAAATGCTGGAGGGCCTATCTGAAAAGAGAGAATATACTTATGACTGTTGTTTTAGAGATGAGGATAAACACAAATTCCTTATGTGTGTGGTTTTTTGTTTTTTTTTCTTTTCTCCTATAGGTTACTTTTCGGACAAGAATCTATCACTGCAACATTAACAGCCAAGGAGTGATCTGTCTGGACATTTTAAAGGACAACTGGAGTCCAGCATTAACTATTTCTAAAGTTCTTCTTTCAATTTGCTCACTTCTCACAGACTGCAATCCTGGTGAGTTGGGCCAAAAGGAGGGATGGGGAGAGAGAAACAGGATCTGTCACAGAGATTGAACAGTGGAGTTTCAGTCCTGTTTCCTTGTTAGCCTGTATGTCATACAGGGTTAATTATAGTCAAGCCATAGGGAGTTTTTCACATTGATTTCTGGTAACTAATACAGGAACATCTCCTGCAAGAAGAGTGGCTGCCCTCTCACATTGTACTCTTCTGGGTATTTAAAGACGTATTGGGGAAGGAAGGGGCAACAGAGATTTCTAACAGGTCATATGTTTGTTTGGAATTGGAAATACCTTCTTTTAATTAAAAATGTTCCAACAAAGACAGAAAACATTTCTGCATTATAGCTGTTTTTCCATAGGTCTCTGGATTTTTGTTTATCACCACTGCAGAAGCCATTCACTGGTCAGCCTATTTTTTCCTTGCCTAGCCTTATTTTAGACTATTCTGGCAACCCATAGGCTTTACTGCCCTGTCCTGGCTGCTTCTTGCTAAGGGCCCATTTCCAAAACACAGTAAACAGAGAAAGCACAAGCAAATGTGTCTAAAAGCTATACAGGTAGTCCTCAGGGTAATTGGGACCGGCAACTCCACCACTAAGACGTGATTGTAAAGCAAGATGTCACATGAGCGCACCAACTAACGACGGCAGTTGCAGCAGTCCCAAATGCCATCATTAAGTGAATCTCGCGCAGTTGCACCATCCTGTGGTCATGTGATCGCCATCTGTGATCTCCTGCCAGCTTCCCTATTGACTTTGCTTGTGGGAAGACAGAAGTGAAGGTCGCAAATCGTGATCATGGGGATGCTGCAATGGCCATAACTATGAGGAACAGTCGTAAGTCCCCTCATTCACCACTGTCATAACTTCAAGTGGTTGCTGAACAAGGATTACCTATACTATCTAAATGGAGAACAAAAAATTCAAAACAGAACTCAAATAAAGCAGAATTTTTATTGGTTGGAATGCCATATATATATCACATCACACTGACATCAGTTGCAAAAAATTTTAAAAACCACATAATGAAGTTTTTTTTTAAATCCATTTGAAAAAATGAATCTATCATATCCACAAAATTAAAAAGAAATGGAATATCCCTGTTGATGGGTTCAGTGACTAAAGGATTGCAGCCTTTGCTTTTGTGAAATCCATTATTGTCTCTTCAGGACAGTTGGCTGTTATGAGACATATTTTAAAGGATTGATAGAAATGTACCACATCTATGGAAACACCAGTTGTCCAGCAAGTCACATTATTACAGTAGGTCTTTGATGTGCATAGGTCTAACAGATGCAGCGTTGTTAACTACGATTGCCAACAGTTTCCGCAAGCATGGCTATTGTTGAAAAAGCACTGTGAAGTCTAGTGGAAAAGTATAAAGGTTGGGACTTGCACTTTAGCAACATCCGGAGGGTTTCCCTATGCCTGGCCTAAGTGGAAAATGTATTTAAATTCTAAAACTGAAATTAAAGTCACTTTTTTTTCAGTAATGCAATGCTCTAGGAATCCTCATCGCATCTGACCATTCTTTCTTTTTTTCCTTTCCCCCAAAATCAATAATTAGCTGGAAATTGTTTTATTTATTTTTCAGCTGATCCCCTTGTTGGAAGTATTGCTACTCAATATATGACTAACAGAGCAGAGCACGACAGAATGGCCAGACAGTGGACCAAGAGATACGCGACATAAACTGGATTTTTGTCAGACCTTTGTGTTAAATCATCTGTGATGGAAAGAGCTGCTTATGATTTTGAAGGGGTGGGACAGGGAAGGGGAGAAACTGCAAAAGAGTGGGGTATTTCTATAACAGATTTTATTCAGTCTTTTATTTCCTGAGATTTTGTTGTTGTTACTTAAGGTATCTTGCTACAGTAGACAGCTAGAATGGGAATAGCATATTTTAAGACTGTCATTAGTTCAGCAATAGTAGCTCTGATATAGCACCAAGAGGAATGTAAACTAATCTGACAATTGGATGAGGGTGGGAAAGGGTGTTTGGTTACTTGTGATAGATTAAAAAAAAATTAAAACAGCTTAATTTATGGGTACATATATTTGGCATTTATGTAAAAGTTCTTGCAAGAGGGCTTGCAACTTGCTTTTCTTTTAGCTTGGTTTTATTTTGTAAAAAAAAAAATGTTGGGAATAATTATCCCTAGGGGAGGTGGGAGAGTTTCATATTTAACACATCTTTTTACAAGACTACCGTTTCATTAATTTGAAATATAGGGGTGTGGCTAGTAAGTTGCCTCCCCTAGTTCATGAATTCATTTTTCTATACCAGGTTACCTTTGTGAAAATGAAGGTTTAAACTGGGACTTGGAGCAACCTGTAGTGAAATACCTTAAGCTGTTTAACTGTAAGGCGTGGAATAGGAGTCACTCAGTGGATTGGTTGTATGTTGTGGGCTATCTAAGTCTGCATTTGTTACTGTGCTAATAAAAATATGTACAAACCCCACTGCTACCACTTATTTCTGAAATATATCTATGTTGGTTGTGTGTAACAGACAATACATTCCTGATAGGTGAATCATGCAGAAAACAAAAAGTAATTTCCTGGCCACAGAACAAAAAGATAGCCAAGGTGGCTTTAATAGGTTGTGCAATTAAACCCTGAGCCAGAAGGCAGACTTACATACCTATCCAAACATCTGTTGTGTCCAAACACCTGTTTGCAGGTGACTTTTATCAGAAGATCAGATCATTTCCTAAGTACTTGAAGTGCTTAAACCTGGAGTTTCCCTAGCATTTTGACATTAAAGCTACTTATTTGTGGTTCAGGCCATTGCTGCTTGATGTATCTTTTGGGGTTAGCGTTTCCCTTTTTTCCTGGTATCCATCTGTACCAAAGTGCTAACCTATTTGGATTCTCTATCATAAAGAGTTTCTTTGGCTACCTTTTCTCTCTTTATAGCCCTCAAAATATTATCTGATGTGAACATCATAATCCTAATGAGATTTCAGTTAATAGTAATTGAAGCAGGACCATTAACTAGTGGCCCAGAATGAATAGTTCTGTAAAATTCACAGGTTAGCTGTGTTTGTTATGTTACAATTAAACATCATTGCCATTCTGCAAAATGTACTGAAGGACAGCTTGAGTGACATATATAAACAGATGGGAGCCATTCAAGTGTGCAATGCAAACCTAACGGAGTCAGAATCTGGTGTATTTTGGTCTCTAATTTTAACACCTAGAGAGGGTTTCAACCATGCCATTGTTGTTATACAAACAGTCTCAAAAGTTGCACTTAAATTTGAAAAATATGCGTAAAATATACCACACATGGCCTGGATGCAGAGATAAGAAACTTTGGTCAATTTCTCTACTGCACATTTTGAGAGATTTCAGTCCAACTATTAGCCACATGCTTTCTAGCTGAATTTTGCATCCCTCAGAATTTTAATGAAAATTGTGAAAATACAAATCTAACAACAGATTCAATATAGGAGAAGTGGATGAGAACTAATGCCATATTGTGATGGTAGAACTAAACCACCATAAGAACCCTAGAATAGCCTCTTAGAATTCCTCAATCTAGCGCTCTCCTGATTTATTGGGACTACAGTTCCTAAAACTCTCAGCCAGGGGGGTTAGCCACATTAACTAGGAATTCTGGGAAAACTGGTTTAGGTTGTGATTAGCTGCTCAAATCATCTTTATGAGATGCAGAATATAGCTACATAGGAAAAGTATATTTAGGTGTGCTACTAATCCTTTTTCTAGGATTAACTAGGTTCAACTTGTGCCTATCTTAATGTCATTTCTGTAAAAAGATATTTTTATTTCCCTAGGTTCTAATCCTGTATTCATTTGCTTTTATGTCAACATATATGTTTTTAAGGCACTTACCTGCATGGCAACAATGAGTACAGCTGAAGCAAGAGGTAGGTTGGTTAGATCTAAAATGGGATGGAGCAGTCCTTTCCCATGCTATTACTCTTTTTCTCTATGGACTTAATAAATTACAACTGGCTGATTTCATACAATATGTTAAGTCATAAACCATAGTTTATGGAATACCCAGAATACTGTAGTCATGCAACCCACTAAGCAGAATCAAACAAACACTCTAACATAGTCCAGTATTTTTCAATCTCAGCAATTTTAAGGTCTATGTATGCTGGCTGGGGAATTCTGGGAGTTACTGTTTTTTTCTGATGCCCTCCTCTCTCTCTCTCTTTCAGGAGGCTGCTGCTGCTGCTACACAGGAACAGATACCAGAGGAATTTTGAAATTGGGGATAGGGCCAAAATTTCCCCTATCCATGAATGAAGTGATGGAAAGTTGTTTTTCTTTCTTTGGTCCAATTTTTAGCCATCCTAGAGAACATCATTTTACACTACCTGAGAGGAATGGCTGCTGTATGATCATCAGTAGAAGTAATACTGGTTCATCAAAAGCATTAGTAACAGAATTAGCACACTTTTTAACGGTGGTGAAGGTCAAATGCTTATTTTCTTCAGAATCACCCAATTCTCTGTCAGCCTCTTTTTTTTAGAATTTATATCTCAAAGTCACAGCACAATGAAAAAACTGTGCAACATATGATCAAAATAAATACTTTTTCACCTTGTTCTTTCATTTCTTTTCTGAAATGCCCTTATCTTTTGTAATAAGTGGTGACTGAAGTGGCAACATCCCAAGTGACTCTTGAATGCCCCCTTTGGAATCAGAAGGCTTTCCTTTCTCTGCACTCCAGCATTCTCCAGCTTACATTCCATGAACATATAACTGAATACAGACAACTATGATCATTTCAGTGTTTTTATGAAGCAATTTCAGATGCCATTCTGACCCTGATCTGTGAGACTAATTAGTTCTAGAAATAAACAACCATGACTTCCAACAACTCCTCTGGAAATGCAAAAGCCACAGAAGTTCCTTGGCTCAGCAGGAGGCAGAAGAACATTCAGCCATCTTCATTATTGCCTTTGAGTTTCCGCCCTGGTAAAGGAAATGTCGACTTGTTCTGTGATTGGCAGAGTTTGCTTGCTAACACCATAAAGGGCTCCATCAGCGTTCTTCCGTCAGTTACTGTTACTTCCCATAACTTCACTTTCTCAAATCTAGCCCACTGCTGTGCAACTTCGCTCCGTACTTGTCTTTCCTCCAAAAGGTCAGTTTTATTACCTAAAACAATAATTGACCCCTGGAAAGAAGGAATGAAACAATCAAAACAGGAAAGATGATCAGTGGTGTTTTCTGATTTTCTATTAGTTTCCAAATATAGGATACTCAAAATATTGGGGGAGGAGAGACTGGAATGACCTCTCCCCTGCAACTTAGCTATCATTCCAAGTAGACCATGCCAAATTCAAATAGATCCATGGGCTGAAGAAATAATCCTTTGGCTGCTTGGCTCACTTCTTTAACGTTTAAATAAGTTTTGTTCAATTTTATAATGTAGTGGTTGAATATAGGTAGTCCCGAACTTAAGAATGCCCAGTTTAAGGAAGACCCATAGTTAAGAACAGAGCCTATTGTAGCAAAATTCAAGTTAAATACATAGTGATTCGAGTTAAGTACACACTGGTTCAAGTTACTCAATACTAGTTACACAATATTATACAATAATACTGTTCCAGCTTACGTACAAATTTGACTTAAGGACATACCTTGGAAATGGAACTTGTTCTTAAACTGGGGACTACCTCTAGTTACATTTAAAGTAGATGCACTGAAATTGACTTGGTAATCACTAAAATCTTACTGATCTTATTTCCTCTAACATACAGATTTAATCCTCTATTTTATTAGTTATTTGTTTTAAAATATTTACCTCTCCATATATATTGCCATAAAGATGGTAACACCTATTTCTATCTTTCCAACCCTATGCATCTAAAAACCTTGCTGCTGTTACCATACAAAAAAATAAAATTATAAATAGTGTCATATCCTTCCACCTTTATGCATATAAAATCCTTACTACTATTGTCATATAAAGAACAGAAATCCCATACATTTAATAACAATTATATTTTAACCTTGGTTAATGTTATACCAAGATCCTTAAAAAATTGTCATTCAGTCCTGGTCACAAAAACCAATCCCATTTATAACTACTGAGAACCTCAGCATATATGTTAACCATAGTCCAATAAATTCACTTTGAAAACCTTCTGTTTACTTTTAAAAAGCTTAAACTTTGAACCTTTCATATAATGTCCCACAAGTTGATTCCAATATCCAGTACTGTCAATGATAAAAGATGCTAGGAGATACAGCCATAGGTCCCCCCACTTGATTTAATGGAAAGTCTGAAGTAGCCCTCACTGCTAAGCTTCAGACTAATGTCTCTGCAAAACTATTTCCATCATACAGGCCATCATTTGAGAAAAACCACAAGCCCCTGCAAGTTTGCAGGTAAACAGCAATCAGTTACTGTCAAATAAATACTATAAACTGTTTTTTCTCCCCTCCAAAGGAAAGTTGCTACAAGTCAGTACAGGATTATTCAAATAGACAACTCCAAGTCCAGCACACATTTACTGTAGGTACATGAAAGGGTTTATATACATTTGGTTCTATTTTAAAGTATGACTCTAAAGTTCTTTTGCAGTACATTTGCTATCAATATTTAAATATAAATCTTTTGTTCCCCTTTACAAACATGTTAGTAAAAACTGTAGAGAAAAGAATATAAGCCACCAAGTGGTGGGGAAAATATGACACAAAAACCTAAAATTCATTATGGTGAAATAACCTATTCCAGTGTTAGATGGAGCTACTGTATGTATTATGTATGTATTTTACTTCACTGTAATAGTGAGATTCTGTTAAGGAACACTTGGGTGCTTCAGACACTTGTGCCTTTTCGCAAGCCATGCAGAGTTTGAATGCTGGCTCACCTACAGCACAAGTACTTAGGAGACTGAGATACAGCTTTTGTTGAGATGTTGAGAATGGAACGATACTTTCCCTCAAAGTTTCCCTATACAGTTGCTATACTATAATTTCCTTTCAGATGAAATTTTATTTATGTCTTTATTACAGCAAGTTGTATACTACCTATTCACTGGAGTCACATTTCCTGGTTGAGAGATTTTCACTTGTAGCTTTTCATATGACTTAGCAAATCTTGTCTTGGAGTGGTAGATGTTGAAAAAGAATTGCTGGATTCTAATAAACCACTTCTGCATATAAATATCTTGAGACAAAAGGAGCAGATTATTATGTATCAACAAGCCCAAAGCAAGATCAGCCAACATTGATCCTTCTTATTGATACATCAAATCATTTTAACCCTCCAATAACTGCTAGTTGAAGTTTCTCTCACAAACATCTCTTAATAAACTCTAAATGTTTGGGGCTATAGTTGTCACATTCCTTGCCTGCTAGGCCTGCTAGCTGGAACTAATGAGAAAACTGGAGAGACTACATTATTTCTAATATAAAACGATGTTGGTAGGCCTTTTCTAGACTGTTGTTTTTTTGGATGATGTATCTTACTGAACTTAAAGCTATTCATTAGCCTTTTTTTCCTGTTAGCAAAATTCTTGAAATAATGAACAATATCTGTACCAGCAGAGAGACTGGTGGAAATTGTAATCCCAATGCAACTAGAACACAACAGATGGGGAGAGGTTTTACAGGATTTGGGGAAAATATCAGAATGAGGGTGACAGCAGTTTACTTTTCACAATTCACTCCCTTGTAGTGGAATTCCCCTTCTGTTTCTTCTTATGGTTGAATTTTGCAAGGATATACTATTAGATTTAGACTTTGTTTTAGTGAATGTCTTTATTTTAATGGATCTTCTTTACCATGCTATTACAAGTCCTTTACATTACATGTCTAAGTCTGAATCCAATTGACAGCATTTACAAGATAAAATATGCTCAGAAAATTTCCCTGCTACAGGGATTGTACCTAAATATCAAAAAGCACCTGATTTAAGGGTACAGTGTAGAACTGAGATGCGTTGCTTTGATCTTCAATTAACTGAAATTTGGCTTCTTAAAGGCTATTTGTGTGTTAGAAACCTGACATCAAATCAGAAATTTTCAGACTGCTGTCATTAAAGGAGAGCATGACAACTACTTTTCCTCTATGGCAATGAAAAAAAGAAGAGAAAAATTACAAAGCCCTTTTCTTTCTGTACAAGATGAATTAATTATGCCATTTAATAACTCTTGGATGGTTCAGATTCCTTGATAGTAATCTACACTGATAAATTAAACTACATCATAGTCAACTACTATGACAACCACTTATATAATTAGGTTAAGAAACAAATTTAGTAACGAACAGTACAGTTGCTATGTGGTAATAAGAATCTGTTGGCCTTTTCTTTCTTTTCACATTCTAATACACTTAGTGGTTTAATACAGGAAATTGCCCTGATCCAGATACTATAGCTCCTCATTCTGGTCATATATTCAGCAAAGCCACCAATCATTTGTTGCAACAAGCAATTTTATTTATGTATTCAATGTATATTACTCTTTAACTGAGCATTCTTGATGGCCAACAATGACCAAAATACAAAAATACAGAAACCAAAGTAAAGTTGAAATTATTAACTTGTGGAAAGGAAAAAAGAGCACCTTGGCTTCTTTTCTGAAAATGAGATCAGATGCAACTCCCTAAAGGAAAGGGCTAAATTCAGTCTTCTTTTTTTCTTTCCAAAAAAGCCTATTTGTACTGTTAATAATTTTCTTATAAGGGCTATATGTATACTCTAAAACTATAAGCATAGAACTTATTTACAGTGAATGAGTCCTCACCAAATTTCTATTTCCAGTGGCTCTAGCTAACTTGGAACAGTTCTGGAGAAATTAAGAGCCCCCAAAATTTGTCTTTCCTTCCTCCTCACCCCAATTCACAAACCATACTGTTCCTATTTATTTACTGAATTTGTACCATATATTCCCACCAAATAGGGTTCAAGATGGCACTGTGAACAGCAGGCTGGGTCTGCATAGAGAACAGAAGAGAGAAAAACATGGACCAAATGCCACATGAGCTGTATTATTTCAGATTACAGAAATACACAACTAAATGCTTCTCCTATTTTCTTTTAACTTGGCCTACACAGAGAAACTAGCAAATCAGAAAGAAATGTTCCAGTCACATAATTTTAACACAGAAGATAATTTCATTATCTCAGTCCAAGAGTCTGATATAATCCGGTCCATTTTAACGGACTTATTCAACTACCACAGCAGGGACGGAGCTATGCTAGGCAGCCTAGTAACCACCAGATGTTTTGGGTTTCATCTCCCTTAGTCTCAGCCAGCATAGGTGATAACAAGTGTCAAATAACAAGGAGAAATTATAATTCAAAATGTTTGGAAGGTATCAGACTCTTGGAACTGTCTGAGTGAAAAGGAGAAACAGCAGCAGCAGCTTGTTTCTAATTTAGGACTATCACACAAAAGGGGAATTAGACTAGATAGTCTTCACCATTCCTAACAGTGTGGATCCTACAATTTACAGAATGTGCTGGCTGGCTATCAAGCTACTTCAGCTATACATTTGATGTTAAACAGGAACAGAAATTATCAGCCAACAGATCCCACTTACAGAAGGCTGAGAATCTTCTTACAACAGGCTCACGAGACAGAATTAAAGCCATACAGCAGTGACTTTTTATATAACAACTTACTGCTGCAGTGCTCCATTCAGCACATGAAATCGGCAAGCCTGCTGTATTACACAAGTACTTCCTTTGACAACAGCTAATGTTATATAACTGTACCCACCTGCAAACGTGTTTTAGATGGCCCCAGATGAGAGTGCTCTGCCTGTGTTTTGTCATTTAATCCCATTAGGAGCTCAATATATCTACAATTTATTAAAAGAAGATACACAGTGCCCTGTATGTATGAAATCATTCAGTGGGGTGAGATACAGAATCCTGGTAGCAAATACTTAAGGCATTTTCACAGGAACAACTCACAGAAATGCACCAAATTATGTCCTGGTTTTTCTCTAAATCAGTTGCCCATTATGGCAAGTAGTAGCACTAAGCCTCCTATCCATTTCCAATAGTAGTACTATGGATATCCTATCCATTTCTTCTGAAGGGAGACTCTTCCAAACAGACTGAGAGGCAGAAGGGTCAGGAAAGAATACAAGGGGAAAGAAAACCCGTTGAGCAAGCAGGAATCTACTCAAACACTGCTGAATGTCACCCAGGGCAAGCAAGCTCTTTACAGTGAGATTATCCAAAGCGGAGGTACTTCCCTTTCTTTCAACTCCACACCCATAATCCCTGACACATCCAAAATTGTACGACAACTAATAAGCAGCCTGGAAGATAGTTTAAGTAATAAACTCATCTTGCTTTGTGTGGCAAATTATAATAATACTGCAGATAGAGCTGAAAAATTAAAAGAAGTGGTCTTTTACCTCTTTCTTTTCTCTAAACTTGTCAATCTCCTTTTTGAGCCAGTCAACTTTCTCAAAAGATTCCAGGCTATTTACAGCATACACTAGAACAAAGCCATCTGCAATAGAATAGTAATGCTTAGGGAATTCCTCCCCTCCTTGCAGTCCTCTGGTGTCATACAGGCGTAACTGTTCTTTTAGTCCTCGATCTGTTTCAGCCACAGCGACATATACATCTTCTATAGTTCTGCTGCACTCTTCACCTATTTTTTAAAAATAGAAAAGACAGAGCAACCATTTCTTGGGGGGGGGGAAACACTCCTGTCCATTCTAGCATTCATGTTTTCCACAAGGTAGCTTGGTTCAAAAAAATCTAAATGTCTACAGGGATATCTAATTGTACTTGAGATCTTCTTAGTTTGCCTTTTGTGAAAAACTTCAAAGCCTCTTTTGACCAAAGCAGGTATGTTATATGGATCGTTTTATATTCGCTACTACCCTCAAATGGAATTTATTTAACTATTAAACTGGCAGCCATCTTACAACATTAGTTAAAAAACAATAAAGAAGGTGCATCTCTCTTACCAACACTGTGATTACCATACAGAACTTGTTCCAAGATGGCCGTCTTCCCCACTGAACTCATTCCACAAACCACCACTTTGAAGCCCTTTCCCATCTTCTTTCAGACTACTGTATTAGAAATCCAGAACCTATAGGCCATCCAGAATTGTAGTTACTTTTCTCATTTCATGGATTGTTTAAAGATAGAAGTATGCTATTGCTACATATCACTGAAGTGAGAGGCAATCCCATTTAAAATTACAGCACAACTCTCCTTAGATTTTAAGATTTATCCATGTTTCTGGGGTGACGAGCAAAAAGGCTTCTAGAACTATTTCTTCATTTACAAAGCATAAGCCTATTACTCTTTTGCACAACGTTAATGAAACTGGAACAACTACCATTTCTTTCTTGAAGAACAGCAAATAAAGCAGATTTTGAATAAGAAAGAATTATTTTTCATTCCAATTCCTTTAACACACAATGAGCTTCCAATTCTGGGATAAAATTGGAATTTAATTTAAAATAAGATCTTAGGCATGACGTCCATTTTCAGAATCAAGCCCCAAACCCATAACATGTTAAATAAATAATAAAGGCGAAAGTGTATCTCTAGAGCGTTCTATCTTTACCCATTAAGAGTCATTAAAACAGTCCCACTGTGTGATTAAGGAGAATCTTTTCAAGGACAATTTTCATGCCGTACTTTAAATCAACATAACTTGCAGAGAACGGCTGGCCAACAGTCACAGCGTTCAGCTCCTCTCCAGAGCACGAAAATCCAGCCCCTCAAACCACGTGTTCCCCATTAACTACATTTCCCAGCAAGCATCTGAAAACAGAGTCTTTTCGGCCCGCTTCCGTTGCAAAGCATTTTGGGAGATAGGCCTCTTCCTTTCCGGCTTCGGGCGCCTTCTGGTAAGGTTTCTGGGGTGGTTGCTGTAGACGATTTATCCATTGTCATCCTGAAGTCTGGCAGCTCCTGGCATCCATTTGGTGCGGCGTCTTATGGGTCGAGGTTCGGGGAGAGAGGATGGTTAGGTTTTGTCAGCTGTGCAAGAGAGAGAAACTTGCTTTCTCCAGCGTCTGGTTGGCAGGATGGCGTCTTGGGCCTTACGGTACCAGAAGAGATAGTCAAGCGAAAAGGGCTTGTGGGCTGGGAGGATGAGAATGGAAGTGGAAAGAGTCCTGGACATGCTGCCTTCATTTGGCATGGGGGCTTTTCTTACTGCTCAGAATTGTGGTGAAAGTCGAGCGATGGCAGCTCATGTTTTCTTTGCTCAATGCAGACTCCTTGGGTGAAGGAAGTAGTAGAGCAGATCTGCACGAAGCCCTAGTTTCAGTCCGTGATATTTCCATTTAAACCGGTTCGATAGGCAACTTTGTGAGAGTCAATGAGAATTGAAAATAACTGCACAGATTTTAAAGCGGACTTGGTTTAAGCCTTTCTTAAGGCTTAAAGAGATAATAAATGATGTGAAAGACATCTGCTTACGACCTTTGGGCAGTTGCTGTCAGAGTAGATGGTTCAAGTACACTGGATTGGTATAAAGCAGCAACCTATATTTGCCTCCAAAAGTTAAAACCTAGAAATTTTGAGAGGAGTTGCTACCTGGTACTGGAAAAAAACATGCTGTTGTATATGGTAAATATGCATATATATTTTTAAATGTGTATGCATGTGTATATATGGTATATATAGTGAGCAAATATAACAGATTGAAATTGTATCTTGGATATCTTACAGACATCTGCTGGCTTCAGAGGCTGATAGAACAAAGCAAACCAGCAGTTATGACATCCTGTTTTTCCTTGACTTGCAAAATATGCTTTAATGTGGGTCTATTCATTGCTTTTATGAATATGTGCCTCCTTACCCAGCACATTAGCAGAAAAAAAAAAAAAAGAAACCAGAATAATGGCATATTTATTACGGATTTACTTAGTGGTTGGTTTTATGGAGTTTACTTTTAGATACTGGAAACCATTTGTTTAAGGTGTTTAAGGAAGTTCCTTTTAGCATATGCCTGTTTTTAAAGAAATACGATATAGCATAATTCTGCATTTCTTTTAGTAGGTAAGTCAGAATGGGTGCCTACAAGTACATCCAAGAACTATGGAGGAAGAAACAATCTGATGTAATGCGTTTCCTCCTGCGTGTCCGTTGCTGGCAATATCGCCAATTGTCGGCTCTTCATCGAGCTCCTCGCCCAACCAGACCAGACAAAGCCCGCAGGCTAGGATATAAAGCCAAGCAAGGTAACAGGAACATTAAAAAGTTTGCTTGCTCTCTCTGTTTGATTGCATGCTTATTACATATAGAGAAAAATATTGATCCAATATAATAGTAATCCCTACAGTAAGCAGTATAAGTTATCTGGCACATAGCTATATATCCAAAGACTGTAAACTGCAGGAAAACATCTGAAAAGTCAAGTTGGTTGAATGGAAGCTTATGTAAAGCACCAAGTCTTGACATTTTCTTTTGTCGATATTATGTGAATCCAATTCCTATCATTTTTTTTTCTTGCTGTAGATCATCTCAGATGAACAGAATGGACCATATAAAAATACAGGATAGTCAAGTAGCTAGACAAAAGTTATTGTTAAGATTTTTAAAATGCTATTTGTTTTTGTTGTAGGCTATGTCATCTATCGCATCCGAGTTCGTCGTGGTGGTCGTAAACGTCCAGTCCCTAAGGGTGCTACTTATGGAAAACCTGTGCATCATGGTGTGAACCAGTTGAAATTTGCCCGGAGTCTGCAGTCTGTAGCAGAGGTAGTTATATCTTAAGAAGAACCTTGTGAAATTTTAGAAGACCATGACCAAAAGCATGATAAGTGGCATATATTATGAACTATAATATAGTAATGTTATATTATAGTGTAGTGTAACATACATTAAAAACTAATATATATGTTTAACTAATAACAATATTCTTCACTGAGTAGTGATGTTGTACTGTTTCTAATTTTAGGTGGGACGTGTATTTTCTTTTTAAAGAATGCTATGATAAATAGCGATGCATAACCTTCACTGCTATGGAGATATTGTTGCTGTGTAAATATAACTGGACATATAGAGCCATAAAGAAACCAATCATAGAAAGAACGTGCTATGTAGCATAAAAATGATAACTGATTTCATGTTTGCAATTAAGTTGGATGACTCAATAGTACCAACTATTCTTGGTGGGTTGAACTAGATTTTTATTATCTGTATTCCTTGTTTTCAGGAGACATAGCCATTCAGGTGCTTTGTTATCATAGCTCACATGAGAACTCTTCCCACTTGCCATTCAAATGCTGTCAGCCTTGGGTAAGCATCCATGCATGGTATACGCATGGGAGCTTTCATATAGGAAAGAGTCCTGATAATGCAGGATCCTGGGTTACGGGAGGTTTTTATATATTTTGAGTTGTACAGAAATCTACATTGAACACATGAATGTTTGCAGGAGGCTGGCAGCATTTGAGCAGCATTGGTTGGGGATAATAACTTACTGGTGAATAATAGCTAATATTAATACCTGAATAGAACAATTCTTCAAAGCGTAGTACTTGTGGAGTCAAAATATTACTTCAGAGCTGGGAAAATATGAGAGATGGCCACTGAGGAAGATGAAATACTTGTTTATTCCTCTCTGTAAAGAAAGGGGTTATTAAATTCCTTGTAAGTATTTTAGTCTTTAAATATCAACACTAAATATATTTCCTTTGCATCAAGTTTCTCAATCTGATTTCATCTGTATTATGGAGGTATAGATATAGATACACATACTTAAAATAGTTTATCTTTTTGTCTAGGAGCGTGCTGGCCGACACTGTGGAGCCTTGAGAGTACTGAATTCTTACTGGGTGGGTGAGGATTCCACATACAAGTTCTTTGAGGTCATTCTGGTTGATCCTTTCCACAAAGCTATCAGGCGCAATCCAGATACCCAATGGATCACCAAGCCAGTTCACAAACACAGAGAGATGCGTGGGCTGACCTCTGCTGGCAGGAAGAGCCGTGGCCTTGGCAAAGGCCACAAGTTCCATCACACAATTGGTGGTTCACGCCGTGCTGCATGGAGACGACACAACACTTTGCAGCTTCATCGTTATCGCTGATTCCTTTGCTTATAAATTTCTCACAATAAAAAGTCATCCAGAGGCTTTACATTTCCATTGCTTTGTGTTGTCATTGAGCTGAAACTGAGATAAACAGTGGCCTTTTTCTGTGGTTGAATTAAAACGTTCTCAGGAATGTTCCTTGATCACTGATCTATAGACATGTGACTAGTGCATGCAACAGAAACTCACTTGTGTTTATGTTAAATACAGAAAATATGAACCATTTAGAATTATTTTAATTCTAAATTTTGGAAAAGGTTGAAAACAAAATCAGCACCTGAACTGGGAACAAATGCTTTGCAATATAAGCAAAAACCAAATTTTGGAATTAGAATGAAGTGGTTATTCCAAAAATGATGTAATGAAGATTGATACAATTAATAGATTTGAAATTGACTTTATTACACATTAGGCTCTATGTTGTAATCATAATTAGTCTAGCTTTGATACATTTTCTGGAAGTAAGATGATAGATATCCTTGTTCAGAGTATGCTATTTTGTCAGCCCCAAGTAGGCATAAAAAAGTGGTTAGTCAAAAGTGGTTTCATTAGTAATTGAGCCACATGTTTAAAGCTGATTACTTTCTCCTAAACCAGTAATTCCTGTTTATGCATTCACACAGTCTCTGTAATACAGTTGTAGTTTTAAAATGGTGAATCCCTTGGTATTTAAATGCAGGGCTTCAATTAATATTAAGTAGATTGTTATGTAGGGGCCTTCCCTGAACTCCTCATAACTCCCTTTATTTTTCAGATAAAATTGTTCACTTAATTCCAAACAGAAAAATCTGAAAGCCATAATATTGTACTTAATTTACTGACAAATGAGAAAGGGCTGAGTGGTTACCATCCATTTGCACTGAGAACAAAATGAACAATTAGGAAACTATACCTAAAGAGTATTTGAAAACAAATCTCACTACATAATTACTGTTGATTAAAACTGCTTATCCATTCTTAACTGATCATTTAATTAAGTACTTAGGAAGCCCAAGAAATAAATTTTGGAACTGGGATGTGGTCACTTACCAACAGAAGCAGTATATATTGGGATAATGCTGGATGCAGAATTTGATTACCGTCTGAAATCAGCTAAGGCCTAAGAGAACAGGCAAATAACCTCACATAGAACCACCATTCTTAAGCTTCTTTCAATGTTCAGACGTGGGTGCTTGTGGTGGGTGGGATGACTGTCAATACAAAAGTTAAAAAGTATGTCCCAAGTTTAGAATAAATCCTTGTATTTGGACCCATGTGTTTCGGTGAAAACACATCCAGTAAAGTCATTTAGTTTTGATAGCAGATGCTATTCTCACAGTGAAGCTGATTCATGAATCAGCACTATCCATATACACTCCCGACTGCTCCAGAAAGTTGTGGGTCATCCAGATCAAATTGGCAGAGAAAGTGCATTCCGAAAGTGCTTCTAGCCTTCTAAATCGTCTTCTGCTAGGAGGAGGCAAATCACTACGAAGAAATTGGTGACTATTGTTTTTGTCTTGAAACTTCATCTTATTTCTGTCTGGCAATGTTTCAATAAACAAATATCTCAACTAATGCTTCCTGAGAGAGGGGACATTAACAAAAAGAATACTAATTTTTTTGTTTTTTTCCCAAGACAAACTAGTCAAGAGAAATAGAAGATCTATCTGGGGCAAACAGCACAGAGCCCCAGAAAGTCTCCTGGATCACA